CATTTCATACAATGATGACTTAGAATTTAATGACATTTATCAACAACATTTTTGAAACACTCAATCACAGATGACTAATGAATTTGATTTATTTAATACTGAACATCATCACAGTATAAGGAATTAAATTGTAATTATAAATTTTGTAAGTTGTAGTATAGATATAAAACTTTGGAATAAAACTTGTGAAACTTTAAACAAAATAATAAAAAAAAAACAAGTTATGAGGTTTATCATGCAATTCGCATTCCAATGCAATTAATGAATATTATTCGTAAAAAATTGTATACGTATACAAACATACTTATAAATGTCAGAAACATTCCAAAGTAAAGTATTTCTTCTGGACCAGTGTCACAATCAGACTTAAAAGCTCGCGCAACCCAACCATGAAAGTTACGAGCAAACTCAACGTCATGACTGTGTCCACCAATTTTGGCTAGGATCCAAATTGTCTTCAGACAAGATTATCATTTATTTGATTGGACCATTAAGGAGAACGTATTTAAGTAGAAAAAGGAAAAATTTGCCGATAACAAGCGAGCACTACTGATAAAAATGTTAATTGTCTTTACTATCGTATCAGCCAATTAGAAATGCTGTTTCTATCTTTTCCTAAATTTTTTTATCTCTTAAAAATCCATTTTAATTAAGAAGAAAAGAAAAGAAAGAACGATTCTTTTATAATCGAACGAGCTGAATAAACTCTATGTATTTGACCGAACTCTCGAATTTAAAAATTGTAAGTTGTACTTTTTAAAGAAATTAGAAAGGAAATGAGAAAATAAGTAGTAATCGACTAAACTAGAAGTCTTTCTTAAAGAAACCTTCTTTCTCTATTTTTATTTCTCTCGCCCTATTTGTCTCTATCTATCTTTACTTTTCTATCCTTTCTTTTATACTCGTGGCAAAGTAACTCCGTCTAAGGACAAATAAAAATAAATTCACAACATACTATGGTTACGTAAGGAAAGTAAATTCACGAAAGATACGAGAATGAAAATGCGTAGACTCGTTCTATGACTCGTAAAGTCTTCTTCGAAAGAAAAAGAAGAAAATAGAAAAAGAAGGAAGCTTTGTCGGTAATGTCAGAGGTAAGAAAGAAAAAAAAACTAAAGAGTAAAACATATGGCAAAAGATCATCGTCTTCGTGTATTCGACTTCCGATATCGTAAAGGTATAACGTATGCATATAAGGTAGCTTTGGAATGCGTCCCGCGAGGACGCGTTTACGAGCTCGGATAACATTTTACGCGAAGCCGAAAGAAGAATGTCGAAGCGATACTTTATCGTTAAATCCGTTAGCCGTTGTAAAAGCACCCTGAAGGCTTTGCAATATATCTATGTGTGTCTGTCGTGTGGGAGGCTAAAAGTCAAAGCTCGAAATACGACGTGTTGGCAATTCGCATATCACAAGAATCGAGAACGACGAGACTTTAGATTTTGATCTACCGTGATATTACACCCCTTTCTTATCTCAAATTGAAAACTATGATATCCTAGAAAATTGAGATCTATTTTTAAATCACTTTCTCATTTTTTTAAGCATTGGTAAAGGGATAGATAATATTTTATTAAAAGTTAAATCAAACATTGTCATCTATGAAAGTCAGTTGATATTTTGTTGTCGATTGGTTTTTTATTGAAAATGTTAAAAAAATATGTGAAAACGTGTTCATGAAATATGTCAGAATATTCGAAACATATGTAACATATGAAAAAAAAACCCCTGTAGGTTATTATGTTAGTCGTTCGAGGAACTATGTAAACAACATTTAATAAAAATACTTTCATAGAGGACGACGATTCAGTTTATCGTTGGATTTCAAAGTGAACGGATGTGTTGAACTTATTCCAACAACAATATACATTTTTTTTTATTAATTAACAATAAATTAAGGTAAATCTAATTAAATATTGTACAATAACATCATATTTTATTATATTTACAGAATATATACAACTTTTGATAGATAATTTATTTTACAGATTTTTATTTTACAATTATCGAATTCGTAGAAAAATAATAGTATAATTTCTATTATATATATTTTATATGTTAGATTATTCATCTAATATTTACATCGATGTAATATATCACTTTTGGAAAAGCCTAAAAACGTTTGGATATTAAAAACTTCACATTTCTTCTCGCATATTTATATCTAATATTATCCATTTATCCTATAAAAAATGTCAGCGTAACTTGACATGAGTTGACGGGAGAATCAATGTAATAAATGAAAAATATTACCTTGGTATGTATATGTTATGTCATGTGTAACAACACGATATAAAATGAATATCTTGCGTAAAATTTTTGAAATTACTTTCATCTCAATGTAACTTAGCTCTTTTTTTTTCAAAACTTGTCATATTTGAAATATATTTAATTCTCGCTCACATATAATGAAAATAAATGAAAATATGACGGAGAAGACACTTAGGTGTTTAATTTTAACGCTTTACTATAGTAATAATTAGGGTAGTTTTACGACGATATCCATTCACCCTAAATGCAAGAGATGTTTGCTGTCAGAAGTTTGGTCCCCTATTGGGAGTACGATAATCGAGAAACGTTAGCGAACACGTATCGAAGTTCAACTTAAACGTGAAGTCAAAGACGTCTTGGTTAAAGTGACTGCTTCCATTTTCAAGAGTAGATACATCATTAATTTCAACGATCTCCTCTCACTCGAACTTTTACTTCTTAACTTCTTCAATCGATTTTCACGTCGAAATAGATCGAACCTAACTTACTTGGACATGAGAATGCTTTGGACTGTTATACATACAAACGCATATATATATACATATAGTAACATATAAATCAAAAGAGAGATAGCTGTAAACTCGCATATTAGTTCAAAGGAGGATACGCAGATACATCTTATTACAAAGTTTTCCCCACTCGGCCTGTTGTACCATATCGAAATATTAAAGTTAGTTACTGTAAGATTTATCACCCCGTTCTCTGTATACACAGAGGCCACTTCTATAACCACTCTCAGTTAGTTATCTCCGTTATGTACTAATATAACTTTTCGTTATTTAAAAATAATTTATAAAATAAAACAAGCAGAAGTTACTCGATATGATACTTGAATTAAATTGAATAGCAAAGAGAAAAAAGAAGAGGTACGAATGGTTGAGTCTTAAAATAAGAACAAACTTTATCTACTTATTTCTAAGTTGTTTAAGTAGGAAAGTAAAAAAATACGATCAACCTGGGATATAACTTCAACTGTAGAATGATAGAATATCAAAATTACGAGGAAACGAAAACTCATGATTTAAACATAAGCTACATTTTAAACGAAAGCATAAAGGGTGTATTTTCGTCAAGGGATAGATAAAAGATGCTTAGGATCGTTAATGGATAAAAAAGAAAAATCAAGGCTAAATAAAAACAATATGTGTGAAGATCACACGTATTAGAAGTGAAACCTTCAAAAAACAGTTTCGAGAGAATGAGACGAATGCGAACGAATAATAATATAATAACAAATAAACCCTACAATTATTCTACACCTGATATTCTGCATTCGTCTCATTCTCTCGAAACTTAATTTATTGAAGTTTTCACTTTTAACACGTGTGATCTGCCCACATGATTTTTCTAAAACACTATCTATTCTAAAGAAGTTTTCACTTTAAAAAATTGGTTGGAATAAAATGTACCCGTTCTTTATAAAAGAGTACGAATGAGAATACTTGTTGTTGACGAGTTAGCTTCTTGATTGGCTTACCTTGCTGTCCACCATAAAAAGGAAGAGAAAGGTGTCAAGGAAGAAAGAAAATTCCTATCTCTCCACCGAGGATGGACAATACAAAAGGCCAACAAAGGTACCCGTGATACAAAACCCCCGAAGCAATGAGTACAATGAACAAAACGTACGATGGGAAATTAGTTTAAGTCATTTGCAAGGGTGGGTACATTCACGAGAAGAGATGCGAATCGAATTCAAATGGACGTGAGAAAGTTATATTCATTTTTAAATTAAAAAGATCCACATCTTTTATGTTTTCCTCTAACGTTATTTACCCAAGTTATAATGGGAATACTGGTACGAAATTTTTTATGTCAGCGTCAAATTGTATACTTCAATCAAAACGTGAAAACCTTATCTAGGTCTTATCTAAAATAACAAACAATAAACACTAAAATTATTAATTTAAGGGAATAAAAAGATTATTTAGGAATTCACAAGAGACGATTAATTTAAGTATGAAGTTCAAATTCGATTGAAAGTACAAAAATAATATTCATCGATTTTCTTTATATATCTGCATATATCGAGTTGTTGTAAAATCAAAGATATATACATGCATGTATGTAAATAATATTTAGCTAGATTTATGTAACTATATTTTTACTTAAATTTTGATCTTATTTCAATTGAAATTACTTTCTATTAATGTTATAATGTTATTTTACAAAATAAAGAAGAAAATATTAATAATTAGTAAATATGAAAAACTGTATTACCATAATACGACAAAGTAGTTAGGATGTAAATTACAACTGTAGATAAACATTCGATGTATGTTGTAAGTAAACATAATTCTCATATTACCGATAAATGATAAGTAATATTTATGATTGCTTCTAATACTTTATGATTTATGCATTTCAACACGCATTATTCTAAAATTATAAATATTGCAAATGTTACTTGTTACGAGTGTGTGTATGCTTCTTTTTTTCTCTTCTTTTTTTTTTTTTTTTTACTTTTTTTTCTTCTAAATTATCAATTTAATTCAAGGACAACGTGTTATCAAAAAAACCATGATCCTTGAAAACGCAGCACTAGAAATTATTTTCAAACGTCTCTTTTTTTTTTCTTCGATGTTTTGTTGATTTGTTTTGTTTTTCTTTTTTTTTATTATTTTTTTTATTTTTTGTTAACCGTGAATGCATAACTGTCGCGTACATTACAATGTCGTTTCGAAACGTAACGATATCGAACGATGTAAATCTTCGAGGCGAGATAATATAAACGCATAAACGTTCGAAGAAGTGGAGGAATAGGAATATAAAAACTTCGTTGATTTTCTTCGTGTGTTAAACAACACGCAGTGTCAGATGAACGCGAAAACCCGACGCGTGCGTGTTCTTCGTAACATTGTAGAAAAGTACAAATTAAACAACATTACATACGTTCGTGATAAATACAATGTAATATTCAATTTGTGATAAAAAAAAAAATTAATACACCAATCAAACGATAGATAATAATAGGAACAATAAATGGGTATGACAATGAATAATTATTTATGACACCAAAGAGATCAAATTTTTTCGTAATAATTTGTCATCTATGAAAGTAAGGTTCAAACTGAAAAACTTTTTATCTTACAATTAATGCTAAAGTGGCACGTTAATATTGCTTTCTTTTTTTTTCTATTGAGTATACGAAAAAAACAAAAAAACAAAAAAACAGAAAACTGATAAGATTCACGGACAAGTCAACTCTATTTATGTTAATGAGTAGAAATAATTGAAAAAAAAAAAAAAAAAAAATAGACATTATCCATGATAAAACAAATAAAACCAATTAAAAATGCAACATGTGGATCAATGCCGCAAGATAATTTTATTGCTGGTAATTATCAATACTATTAATACGTTAAGTATATGTGAATATTAGTAAAGAATTGTTCTAGAAAGATAAATTCACAAAAAAAATAAAAATAAAAGGAAAAAAAGCATACATAGTTCGATTTGCAAAAAAATAAAAGGAAATAAAAAGGAATGAAAAAGAGGTATAAAAAAAAAAGTGGGGACAAAAAAATGTTTACCATAGAGTAGGATATTCAACAAATGCAAACGAAAAACGGGAAAGTTTTCCCAAGACAATAGTGAAAACGCATTCCTATAGAAAACAAGCAGCCAGAAACGACGCGTTTCGTTTTGTCCTTATCGATGCATAGAAATGCAAAAGTTTCCGGTGTTACTCGATAAACGATAGAAAGGGACAAAATAAAAAGGGTAACAAAATCGAATGGGCAGACAAGAAGTGGAAAAATATTTTTCAAGGGGGGGTAGAAGATATCGATGAACCGGAAACGTTCTAACACGCAAAAGAAGACAAGATCGTTCGGTTGTGTCAAACGAAAATATAAATTTAAAGAAAAAAATGAAGAAGATAATTGTGACGACGATGGAAACATTGAACAGTAGCGTACTTTTCTTATCAACTGTTGAAAATTTGAATAGTGAAATGGCCGTTGATCCAACAGATATGTTAAATCAAAATACGAGCGGTGTATTAACGTCAAATAATTTCACATTTTTCGAGCATGCACCTAAACTTACTGACACGGGTTTTATCAAGGTTATTGTATTAGCTTTTTTATCGATTGTAAGTCTAATAGCAAACCTTGCTACGATATATTCTGTAATAAAAAATCGTCGTAAACGACAAAGTTGGTCGGCCATTTATACATTGATACTTCACCTATCCATTGCCGATCTTCTCGTAACAATATTTTGTATCGGTGGTGAAGCAATCTGGAGTTATACCGTTCAATGGATATGGGGTAACATTTCTTGCAAGATCTTCAAATTTCTTCAAGTGTTTAGCCTTTATCTCAGCACTTTCATCCTCGTGTTGATTGGTGTTGATCGTTTCGTAGCTATTCGATATCCAATGAAAAGTTTAAACACAACACATCGATATCTTAGATTCGTCGCTATTGCTTGGATACTTTCTACCATTTTGGCATTACCACAGGTAATATTAATTAAATTTAATTATTAAAATGTATCTTTGAAATCATTCATGTCCTCTTATTAATAATCTTAATGTAATTTACTTGTTTTGGATTTTTTATGTCAGAAAATAAAAATGAAGTTACTTCTTCTGTTTTTTTTTTTTTTTTTTTCGTAAAATCAGTGATGTTTAAGTATATTGATTTTATTTATGAATATATGTTAAATATTTTCGATATTCGATTTTCTCGATTTTTCGTATTACTTAAAAGAATAAGAAAGAAAAATAATGTCTTATAATATCTAAGCATTTAGTAACTTTTCGTAAACTATTAAATTGACTTTTATCAATGATAGGAATGATCCATCTTCTCTACATTGCTATCGGTTTCTCGTTCGATCTTCGTTATTACTCTTTTCCCATTTTCTCTTTTCGCGGATACCATTAAATTGTCTCTCGAAACACATATCGATCACGGAAAGTTCAATGACGATTTAAAAAAAAAAAAAATAGAAAATTAAAAGTAAGAAAGAAAAAAAAAAAAAAAAAAAAAAACAAATAAAAAGAAGAAAATTAAGTAAGTGAAAGTTTCTTCTGATATAAAGTTCTAAACTTTGTTAATTTATTATTTGCTATACTTATTATCGATGTTAATAAAAATTTTCTTCTTTTTTTTTTTTTTAAACGGTATAATTATATTACATTTTTTTTTTATATCTGTATGGTATAAATACAAGCGTATAATTATTTATAATATTTGACAATATATAAATATATAAAATAAAACAAATTAATTAAAAATGTTTGTCTTTTACGAGAGAACATATGCAAAGGTTTTTATTACTCATTCTTGTAACTGGTATTTATATATTGTTTTTTTTTATTTAATTAATGATTTAATTATAAATCACATTTCCTTCTTTCCCTTTTTTAAAATCCTAAAAGAGATCAGACGTTTATTTTACTTCTAGACGAGACAAAAATTAATATTAATTTATTCATAGACAAACGGCATTCGATTCGATATTAATTGTAAACAAGATTTGCAGTAGATATAACGCAACGAACCAGTTTTCTCTCATTTATTTTTTTTTGTTTTTCTTTTTTTTTTCAATTATTACCCATTTATTATTTATTTTATACTATTTCTTGTTGTTATTTATTTTCTTATTATTTTATTTTTTGTTCTCTCTTTCTCTCTCTCTCTCTCTCTCTCTCTTTTTATCTTATTTTAAATAAATAATATATATGGTAAATTTATCATCTATAATATCATTGGATATTCATAATAAAACGATAATTTTTTTTTGTTTTGTTTCTTTAGAAACGCATTATGCATAAAAGTCAGAAGAAAATTGTTTGAACAAACAGTAACTGAAATGATAAAAGAAAACGAGACGCGAAATAAACTTTCAAAAAACAATTTAACTTTCTCACTAATTTTTGTCTCATATTTTGCAGAATTATTGTAATAATAACAACAATAATCACGTGCAAAAACAATTGATTTAAAATAATTCGATAAATTATCATTCAATTGTATTTTACTAAAATATGCTTGAAAAAGTGTACAAAATAGTATCAAATTAGTTAATATTTTATTAAATAAATTTTAATTATATATGTATTCATTTTAATTAGATATGTAATTCATGCATCCATTGATGACTTGATATCGAGTCCATTCGTATTCTCAAATCATACTAATATTTACATATCACAAAGAAATAATTTGTATAATAAATAATAAATAAAAATAGAAAAAGAAGATATATAAAAAAAAAAAAAATACAAAGTGTAATAAAATTAAATAAAATTAAATATCAAATATATATAAATATATATATATATATATTATAGTTCTGAGAGTTGATGCAAATATTAAAAATATTAATATTGTAAACGTTTGACCACATATACAAAAAATGAATGTAAATAATAATTAAATATTATTACTCGTATATTTTGTTATGGATAATATTTTTTTTTTTTTTGTTAATAGGTTAATGGTATACCATGATCACGTCTTTCAACGGAAAGTGTAGAAGAATTACTACTATTTTCACATTCATTTTGATTATTATTATCGATCACTTGATTCATTGAAAAATTGTCAGTTTTCGATGTAGGACTAATTGCCGATCTCCTTCTACGACCTCCTCGTCTACCTTTTTTACAAATACATTTACTCCTTCTCCTCCTCGATCTTCTCGATTTACAAAGTGGTCTTCTTCTCCTTCTCGAACGTCGACGTTTCTTTTTACATTTACACATTCCTCGTCTACTACGAGATCTACGAGATCTACGAGATCGTCGACTTCTAGGTCTACAACCACGTCTTTTTCTACGTTGTCTTTTACGACAATACATATCCAAAAGACCTAACTCTTGTGTTGCAATTTCATCGCATTCTGCTTGTGTATCGGTTGGCAAAGTATAATGTGCACCATTCTTTTTCAAAATCCCATAAGCAACACCACGTTTCAATGCAACATGCATCTATTTTTTTTTTTTTTTTTTTAAGATACACATTATTGATTATTTTTGATGAATTTAATTAATTAATATTTAGAGCGTGTAAACAAATGAAATTATTAACCAACCTGACGACGAGCAGTATCTGGATGTAAATTATATACAGCAGTAATGTAATTTAAAATTTCTCGCGATGTTGAACCTTTAGTTTCACGTAATTCTTTGATAGCTGTCATTATCAATGCCAAGGTTTTTTTCGTTAAAATTCCCATGTTGAAAGATCACAAAGTTTCTGAAGGATTTATATAAAATGCAATTCTCGTAAGTGCAACCTATGTAAATGAATTATATAAATCTGCAACCTTGTTTATTCCACGTATTTCAATTTATAGTAAATATTTAAACTGTTGTTATATATTTAAGAGAAAGTATCCCAGACGTTTGGAATATTATTATGTATCGATAAGAAATAACGTGTTGCACATGTGTATATAAATGTATGTATGTATGTATGTGTATACGTGTGCATTGGAAAAGAAGTTTAGCAAGTTTATCCATAAATGGATAATTGTACAGACGAACGGGCGCCAATTCTCAGAGTCTGGAAACTCTGTAGATCATTGATAAAGTCTCGTGAGATCAATCATCAAGTGTGTAATGTATAAATGATTGAAGTATCTCATGGATCTTATGGACAAAATAAACTGGAAGTTAAAAAAAAAAATGTTACCTCGACGACAGAAGAAACGTCATAGGAGAGACAAGTTTGCCGATTTATTTCAATTTGTTGAAATTCCTTATAAATCTTGCTTCATGTTTTAACGATATCTTAATCCAAACATTTACGGATTTTAACACGATTAATTAGAAATTTAGAATAATCAAACCAAAATGTTAATTATTTTATGGATATTTAAAAAAAAGAGTCGTACGACTCGTTTATTTATGTATGATCGTATGATGTTTGTTACTAAGCAAAAATAAAAAAGAGAGAGAGAGAGAGAGAGAGAGGAAGATTGATCGTTTTTCCATTAAAACTTTTTGTATCTATCTTCAAGATCTCCAGTACACGCGTGTATTCGTGTACCTATAATTATGATAATAGAAAAAAAAAATCCAATAAATTGTTTTTTTTTTTTTTTTTTGAAGTATTTTATATTATAAATATTATATTGAAATTACAAACTGAATAAGAAAATATCTAAACACCCCTTAAATATCAACAGATTGTCATCTTTCACGTTGCACGTGGACCATTTGTCGAGGAATTCATACAATGCGTGACCCATGGATTTTATACAGAACCATGGCAGGAAAAGTTATATGTTATGTTGAGCATATTTTTTATGTTTCTTTTACCATTAACCATATTGATTACCACCTATGTCTCAACTATAATTGCTTTATCACGTGAGTAATAAGATTATCTATAATTTGTTTTTATTTTCACTAGATTAGTATTAATTTATTTATTTATTAAATCAATGACACACTCTTTGTTATCATATTATTATTTCAGGAAGTGAAGATGCATTCAAGTCTGAATTAATTAACAATAATTTACAACGTACGAACAGTGATATTAATAGAAAAAAATTAATAAATCGTGCAAAAACGAAATCATTACAAATCAGCATTCTCATAGTCGCTGCATTTATCGTATGGTGGACCCCATACTACACGATGATGATAATCTTTATTTTTCTCAATCCCAACAAAAATGCAAGTATTCATTTTATTCTTAGAAAATATTATGTTAGTTCAATCATATTGATGAATATTTTATTATTTAATTGTAGCTTACCAAGGATCTCCTAAATATCATATTTTTCTTTGGTATGACCAACAGTTTGGTGAATCCATTGATATATGGTGCGTTTCATCTTTGGCCAAAACGAAAAAAACGAAATTTTTACTTCAGGTAAATTTGAGCTTCTCTAATAAATGAACCAAAAAAAAAATAAAATAAAATAAACGATTAAATTACAGTGGAATCTCGTATAACGCAATTAATATATATATATATATATATATATATATATATGTATATACATATTACAATTAACATTTACAATCGCAATTATACGGTTAATTATGTGTGCAAGTTATTTTATTATATCTTTTATTTACCTTGAGACAATTTATCATTTTTTATGACAACACACACATATCATATGTGCGTTGAGATAATTCTTCTATTCCATGAACTATTTTTAATAAGATTAAGGTCAAAAATGTATTTAAAAAAAAAAAAAAAGCAAAAGAAAAGAAAACAAAACAGTATGAAAGAAATAATTACGAAACAGTATAAGAATCAATAACGATGCGATTTGCTCAATTAAAAAAATAATTTAATTTTTAAATGAGAAGAATTCCTGCATTTAATTAAATCTCGCCATTATACGAGATTTTATATTATAACATTGTGCAAGTTGTAATTTATTATTATTTTTTCTTTTTTTTTTTTTTTTTTTTTTATATAGAAATTTATATTTCAATAACTCGCGTTATACAGAAATCTATTGCATTTTTAATGTGGTAATTGAAGGAATTTTCTTATTTTTTATTTATTTTTTTTTTTTTTTTCTACATAATCATTTTCATTAATATCCGCAGAGATTTGTTCACGTTACGAGGACGAAAAAATCGTACCAATAGTAATGATTCTACGAGAGAACTTCAAGAAACACGGCCATTATTTGTTTCACGTGGTATACGCATACTAACAAATACATTCCATTGAGAAGAGGAACATACACACATACATATATATATTATGTTATTTTAATATTATACTTTAATAGGGGCACAAATGTTACAAAAGTATATGAACAATATTTTAATATTATCTTTACTTTTTTTTTCTTCTTCTTCTTCTTCTTCTTCTTCTTCTTTTAATATTTACAATTTACAATTCACATAAATATTTATTATAAGAATATAATTTTAGGTGACAATGCAATATTCTAATGACTGCCTCTAGTCCTTTTAACCAGCATAGATAAGATAACAATTTTAAAATAAAAGTTACGCGTAGTACATTTAATTTTAAAAACAAGACACGTGTGTAACGATTTAGTGATAGATCATCATATAATCATAATATTATTAATCGTGTTATAATTAGCAATTTTATTATCCTTTTTTTTATATTATCCTTTTTATCTAACTGGTCGTAACAATGTCATATATTATAACTTGTTTATAAGGATAATTAGTTTTTTTTTTTCTTATGTGATTTAGCAAAATCACAATCATTAAGTGTTCATTAAAATCTTATCTATTAGAATATAATAAAAAACTTGTGTAACAATCCTCTTTTTACATTTGAATAATTATATTATTTATAAATAACTAATAATAAGATTGACGATTTAAGTTTGATCATTGTACTTGACAAAATTTAAATCATTATACAAAAATAAAAACGAGTTAGGTGTCCTATTATATTTTTTATTATCTCGAGACTATTTCGTAAGAATTTCATAAATAATAAGATTAATTTATTTGTATTAATGTTTAGATATAAGAAAATACAATATGTTCATATATATTCTAGGTGTTTTGTTTGAAATAATTTGAATGATTGTAACTTTTCATTGATATTATTCATCGAGTATTGATGTGTTACAATAAAAATAAATAAGCAGCACAAACAAACTGTACAATTGAAATAATCTAATCAATATTTTATCTTGCATTTTCTTTTTCTTTTTATTTATTTATTTTTTTGTTCATGTACACTCTTTTAGAGTTTTAATAATTTCTTAGTTTTCATAGTTTGAATCGTTGAATATTTTTTAATGCTGATGTATATACCCAAAAAGTGAAAAAAAAATAACATTGCATTAGTAATTCAACAAATGTTTTGACAAAAATGAACCAGAATATTTACATGTGCATATTTCGCGTACTATTCCGTGTATAAATCCATATTTGTACCTGTATTTTCGTGTCCGATCAGGTATAAATGCTGTGATAATGAATTTTCGCTCCGAAACATACATATAACGCCATCTGTTAGTACTCACGCATAGTACCGTCACGCATCATGAGATAACTAATAAATATTACTTTATTTTTACTATTATTACTTAATTTTGTAAACTAATAAGTTTATAGATATTTTATTATATTATTTAAAAGATACCTGGTATAATAATATATTAATAAATTATTATAATTATTTATTTTATAAGCAGATATCGTATTTATGAAACATAAAACGTAAAAAAAATACTTAATTTGTTCGATAACAATATTATAAAACTTATTTTTATGTAAAATTTAATATATAACCTTTTAATTAATTCTTTTACATTTTATATTTCGTTAAAATGTTTACAAATCCAAATTCATTTAGGCGAGTTTATATGTAGTCGTGATTTGCAGTTTGAAAAGCCCGCCTTTAAGTACATAACCTTGTTTACCTTAGATTCTAGAGAAATATAGTGATTATAGACTAGTGAGATTCACTAAATTAAGATTTAGTGAAATATAGGATTAGCAGCACTGATCAACTGGTCCAGAATGATTCAGTTGGTATGTTTTCTTGTGCTATTACATTTGGTTTCTTTTGTGCTTAGTGTTTTTTACAATATTATAGAGTAAATACATATAGGAATTTTCCTTTTACATTTTCCCGCGGATTCGATTAAGAAATGATATTTTATATGCAGTATTTCCATTTACTTTATAATAAATAATTAGTGTAATATATCTTAAATCTCGTTGTGATATTACGTAGATACATTAACTAATTTCTTAACCTTCAAATATAATAATTTTATAGATTATAGTAGTGCAATTATAAAAGTTTTATATTAGGTTATATTTCTTTTATACTTTACTGACAGATTTGTTTTGCTAATATTGTCAAGCGCGTATTATGTGTTAATAATTTAAAAATTATTGAATTATTGAAGAAGTTAAGGTAAAAGAAAAATATTAGTTAATTTTGTACAATGTTTTAATAAATCAAGAAAATGAAATATTCACTTATTTTACAACGTTTTTCTTTTGTTACAGAAACAGAAACAATTTAAAGTAATGGATGAAGAAAATGAATGTGTCATCGAAGAGGTTGTTGTTCCTTCGAAAACAAAGAAATTGAAACAAGGTAGGCACAATGCTTAATTATTTAATATTTACATCATTCATAAAATTCTATATTTTTTTTTTTTTTTATTTGAAAATATGCTATACTATAAATAAATATTCTTATTTTTCTATGTATTACAGCACTGTTATCATTTTCAAAAGTGTGTCCTCCTAAACCACTATTGGATAATGTATCTTCTAAAAAGAGAAAATTAGAATCTCCAAAAGAATCAAAGACTGCAAAAATAATTAAAGTCTCAGCTAAGGAAAATTCAGAGGAAGATATTGAAATATTAGATAATGTTTTAAATGAATCTATTACTTCAACTAGTAGTAGTAAAAATAAGAAAGAAATAATAGATATTGAAAATGATGAAGAAAAAACTCCGGATAGATCTCAGCGTCATGACAAAAATAAAAATCGTAAATCTAAGTCAAAAAAATCATTGTTTTCCAAATCCAAAAAGAAAGAATCATTTTCTCCGAATACTTCGTTAACCAAATTTCTTATGAAGAAGAATAAGAAAGATGATATAAATACAAGCATGGATGATAATACGAGAAAGAAAACAGAACAGAAGAATATTTCTTCCGTTCAAAATTCTAATGAAAATTCTGATATAGATGTCAGCGTTGTAGATGATAATGATGATGGTAATGATGATGATGATGATGATGATGATGATGATGAGGAGGAGGAGGAGATAGTAATAGAATGTACCGATAAATGTGATGATACAAACAAATCCTTACGCGTTGATTCTGATTATGAAATTGAAGTTTCTTCGAATGATGAAGATAATACAAAAGTTTCCGAGAAAAAGGAAACCACGAATATGAATGTCAAAGGTTTAAGAACACCAACGCAAAAAACAAAGAAGACAGATATTACAAAAAATAAAAAAGTGACACCTAAACAATTACAGAAAGAGAACAGTGCTAGAAAGCGTAAAGAAAGGGAACAATTGCGACTGGTAATAATCAGAATAATAATTTGATTTTTCATTTTTATGTGCAGTATATAATGTAACATTTTGTATATTTATATAAATATATTTATTCAGGAGAAAGAAAGAAAACGTGAGGAGGAAAGAGAAAATCGGCGTAGGGAAAAGGAAGAAAAACGGAAAGAAAAAGAAGAAAAGGAAAGGGCAGAACGTGAACAAAAGAAAAAAGAGAAGGAACAAAAGGAGCTTAAAAAACAAATGGAAATAGAGTAAGTATCATATAATGTATTATTTGAAAAGAATGAAAATCCTATAAAAATTTATAGATAATATAATTATAAGACTGTATATTCTTTTTATTTTATTTGTCATAGACAAAAACAGAAAGAAAAGGAAGCAAAAGAACAAGAACGTCGTAAAAAGGAAGAAGAGAGGAAAAGAAAGGAGGAAGAGAAATTAGAATTCGAACGTAAGAAACAAAAAGAAGCATCGACTTTTGTGAGTTTTTTCGTTCCTAAAAAACAAGAAATGAAAAGCACGGAAGAGGAAAATAATACGGACGTACAGACATTCATGCCGTTCGAAGTTAAAACAGATATGAGGGTTGCACCCATTTGTAGGGGTAATTTAGATGAGAGTCAAAAATTATCTCTAGATTCTTATCTTAATAAAGGTGATGAGGAAACAATTAATTTGTATCTCGCCGAAATGAAAAGTAAGAAGATTATCAGGCATAAATCTGAAAAAACATGGCCGCTCAAAGCAAAGAATGATGTAATCGTATTAGGTAAGAAATAAAATACAACAATAATAATAATAATAATTTATACATTATAAAATATTAATTTGTAAAAAATATTTTATTCGACGTTTATAATCTTTATGGCACAGATGATGAAGAAAACGATTGTAACTCGGATTTAGTATTTCAACCCGAGACTGTCGCAGACAAAATTCGACCGAAGTTATTACAGTTTCATGAAAATCGTCGACCACCATATTGGGGAACTTGGAGGAAAAAAAGCGATAGTATAAGTTCTCGTCGACCATTTTCAAAAGATTCGGTGAGTAATTTATCTTGATATTATCTTGAAAGTGTGTATATTTTATTTTTTTTAACGCTTTCATTTCATATATATATTTATATATGAAACACAATAATAATATACACACTAGAGTATTTTGCATGAGGTATTATAACTTATACTCTTTAAATCTTCACGAATTCTATTTCTGTTGTTTTAACTTTAAACAAAAATGAATGAATCTTTGACATAATGAAAAATTCACACTAAATCTCCTGTAATACGTTAGTTTTTCCACTACGAAATCCACCACGTCCATTTTGAAACAACGGATAAGTATTTTTTCTATGCACCTTACGATGTTTAGCCAAATGATCGCTACGTGCGAATCTTTTCGAGCACATTTCGCAAGGATAGGGTTTAACTCCTGAATGTGATCTTCTATGCCTTGCCAATTCGTCTGATCGGCTGAAACGCCATCCGCAACCCGACCATGTACAAGCGAACGGTTTTTCTCCGGTATGGCGTCTTAGATGAGCTTTTAAATGAGATGCTTTCGCGTAGACCTGTTTAAAAAAAAAAAAAAATTCAGATTGTTTATATCAAACTGTATCTTTCGTTTATTTTACAAATCTTCTTAAGTAGATGTTAAATACCTTTAGACAACCTTGATAGGTACATGGAAAACATCTGTCTTCGACTGCATTAGTCAAATTACGATTAGTATAATCGTGAGTTGCCAATGCTGCATTAGCTGCTGATGAAATTAGTAGATTCTCTTCTAATTGATTATTATTGTAATCTGTAACTATAAAATGCAGTGATTTGATTTCTTTTTTCAAATTGCAAATGCAAGAGCAATTTTTTTTTTTAAATCATTTGAATTAAAATTTACATTTACTTATTTCTTCCTGTCCTAATGAATTTTCTAATGCCCTTAAATCGATACCAAGTACAAGTAAGGGCTCGTCATGATTGAATACTTGTTGAGGATTTGGCAAAGGCAAATGTAAAAATCCTTCACATCCTGCTGTACAAAGTGGCGTTCTTTCTGGGAGACCTGAGTTCCATGTTTTGTCTAAGCACCATTCCAATTCTGAATCTAATTCGCTCAATTCGCTCAAGCAACCTGTTTGAATGAAATATTTCTTCGTTGATTATGAAAATGTTTAAACATTCTGTCTGAAGAAAATAAATATAATAATTAATTAATAAAATTTGTACCCGAGGAAGATGTAGATGCATTGGTCATCCAATCGTTCCACGAATCTTTCGGTGAACACGTTAATTCGGTGTAACATTCCACAGGTGTTGTCAAAGGTATCGTTGCATGATTATCGATGATCTCTGAATCATCACTCGAAGGTGTTCTGCACGAGGATTCGTATTCGGAAGGTAGATTTGGTATACAGGGTGACGGTAATGTTTTATCGAAATTTGTATCCGTCGTTAATCCCAATGCAGAAAGTAATAACTCGTCTGCCATCTAAAAAATATTTAAGAGAAGAAGAAAAAATAGATTAATGAGTCATAGAACAAAGTATACATACATGAATATGAAAATGTATGAATCAAAGTATAGTTGCAAAATAAATAATACAATAACAGTCATTTGTTGTGTTACACGCGTTACGCGTAGAAACCATCATCAATTCATTCAGTTAACATTGTACATCAAATAAAAATTGAATATTATCTTACTTAAGGGGGTTATCATAGTATAAAATATAGTGGAAAAAATTTCTTTATATACGAGACACTTCACACATCTTAATACGCAAGCAATTAAATGTTTATATATTTGAATTTCGATACTTACATCGAACATCATAGTTTCTTCGATCATAACGACAAATTGATTCCAACAATAGAAATAAAATAGATATAATGATGATTTTCCTAGTTCAATTTAATCTTAATTTAATATCAAGTTCAAAATTTGTTTTATCAACGATCAAAACACCAATTTCAAAATATCCCAATGATGATCGTACATTTCAATGTTAATTTAAATAAAAATCAATCAAAACATTATACGAAACGCATGATCAAAAACGCGCGTGAACAATACACGATCGATGAAATGACGAAATAATTGAACAAGTATGCAAGTAACAACCGGTTATTAGAACTAATCTCGTAATTGTTGATCCGCATCGACTAAGGATTTGCTTGATAACACGAGGTACGTGGAAATAAGAAAAACCGGTATTCTTTTCTCGTGATATATCCGATGTGTCACACATATGAATACATAAGACAAATATTCTTATTATAAAACACATACATTAATTATATTAATTTAAACAAATATATAAAATCGTAGAGTAACTCTCTTTCTATTTTTATTTCACGCGTGTGTGGTGTACCTTCGTGGTTGAGGATCGTTTTCAGACTGTTCGATCGACAGATCGAAGACAACGTGTAGGTTCTCCTCACTCGCGTTGTCATCGCACACGGCTCGAAAGATAATCGTCGCTGTGCCAGCCGGTGCCGTGTCACTGTCGTTTCTTCCCAAGGGATCGTGAAAGGCATTACCGATCTCCAGAACCACCGTACCCGGTCCCAGATACATCTCTTCGTTCGTTATTTTATTCCGTCATACGTTAGATTATATTTACGAGTATCGGTTTGTGTTTGCTAATCGTTCTCTCGCGGCCATCAACTTTTGCGACACGCTTATATCGACTTATTCGTTACATTTGTGTGTGTGTGTGTGTCTGTCTGTTGTGTGTGTATTTGGCAAGGCATATTGACGTCAAAGAAATACATACCTTACTTGATAAAATCCAATTTTTATTATTCATTTTTTTTTTTTTAATTTTATTAACTCACTCGATATTAAGTCATATTTATTCTCCCCACCTTCCTTCTTTAAAAAAAAAAAAAAGAAACATATAGAACATATGCCAAAATTAATCTCGTAAACATTTCTTCCCTTTTTTTTTTTTTTGTATTAATTTTTATTTTGTTATTTTATTGATTAATATAAATTGCAGAGAAATATAATAGATTATATGTTACCTTGTAAAATAATATTTAAAAAATATTGTACACTTGAAGCTTAGAAAAAATAATCAAGAAGCTTGCAGGATATTTGATATTTTTTAAATAAATTATTTGATTATTTCTATATGTCCTGTTGATATCACACTAATTAATTATTTCTCATTTTTCAAATTGAAAAAATAAAATCAGAATTATAAAATTCACTCACAGGATTTTCGAGAGTATTCGTTTATGTTGTTGATCGAGAGTAAGAAGAAGTTTCATTGTCAAGGATAATTATTACGCGTTCTAAGAAGTTCATGCTTTTTTTTGTTGTATCTTCATCGACGATTGTTCGTCTCAAAGTAGCCAATGGCTTTGACCTAGAGCGACTAAGAGTGGGCTCGAGTCACGATAAAGTATCAGCGAAGTCAGTGGCCACCACCATCAGGAGTTTAACTTACACGCTTCTACTATATTATTATCGGTGTCGAAGGAGACTGACCTTAGATACTATAAATGTATTTTTATTCTTTCGTATAAAGAAGAAACGGAACAAAAAAAAACAAATAGGTAGTAGAATTAATTTGATTAGAAAATTATCAATATTTCTTTAGAAAAAAAAAAAAAACATAAAACTAGAGAGGAATTAATTTCAAAAGGATCATTGATTTTCTGCAAATGAAATTCATAATATTTTGTAATATTTTTCTTATTTTATTTTATTATTATTATTTTTTTTTTTTTTGTAATTTTTTTAACGATTAGTACTTTGCTGGAAGAGAGAGAGAGAGAGTATCGATTGTTATCGTTGTCTCTCACCGAGTTATTGAAAACAGACCACAGCATCATATCACCGTCGTTTATCTTGCAAGATTGACAGCATCCGTGGTATATCTTTATCGAATAGCTCTGATCCATTGCACTTAGGCAATCTTTTATGGATTTTCTATCATACGATTAAACTACTACTATACGAAAGGACAAAGACAAACAGATATAAAGAAATATAAAAAGAACGAGTGAGTGAGTGAAAGAGAGAGAGAGAGAGAGACGTGTAAAGGTAGGGAAAACTAAACAATAATGTCAATCGATTCATCGGCACGCGTTTATTTAGTCGTAATCACTTTTCGGACGATTTATAAATTTACCACGGACGTGTATTTACGCTGATCGTTTCGTCATCGATGTGATTACGAGATACAATGGTTATTATTTATTTCTATCACACATGTATAAATATATACATATTTTTTGTTCTGCATTTGTGAATTACGATGACTTGCTAACTCGGTTTGRCTCGAATGTACTATATTTTTTTTTTTTGTACGAATTTTTTTTTGTTTTCCTTTCTCTTTTTTTCTTCTTTTTTTTTTTGTAAGAAAAAACGTAACGCTCGGAAGCCAGAGATAGCGCAAGAATATTATTAATTATTATCCTGTTTCGCGGTGCGACTGAAAATTCAAAAGATTACTCGTGGAAATGATGTTTTTTTTCTCTCTCTCTCTTCAGGAAAGAAAAGAAGAAAAAAAAATTTTTTCCATCCTGTACAAAGTGCCCTTGACTAGTGCATTTCTAATGATCAAATACGATTATAACGTCCGCTTTTGATTTGTATTTTTTTTTTTCTTTTTTCCTTTAACAATTTTTTTTTTTCCCTTTAATATCTGAAATGTACGATTAAATCAAATTCACCATAAACTTAGAGACGATCGTTGCAACTAACCGATAAGCAAAACATTCCGCGAAACTTATGCATGTCTAGATAAAAAATAATTTATCTAATGACGTATATTATTATAGAGAAAAGAAATGCGTCCACGTTATGCATAGTTATAGAAGAGAGAGAGAGAAAGTATCACGTTAAAAGAGTGTAACACAACATCGATAATGATAATGAAAGTTAAAAGAGAAAGATATGATATTGAATGGTTTGTAATTTACGATCAACTAAACTTCTTTTTTTTTTTTTTTTTAAATATCTAATTCGAAGAAATGTTTTATTAATAATCTAATAATAATAATAATCCAGACATTTATTTGTATCGCGTATTATTTTTCAATAAATTTTCCTAACGTCGTTTTATAATAATTCTTAACACGTAATAATTGTATTGAGTTGACAATTAAGTGATTGCAAATTTTTCAAGGAAAATGATTGGTGAAATCCACAATTACTTAGTTGTCAACCATTTCACCAAGAATTTTCCTTGAAAAATCCACAATTATTTAGTTGTTAACGAAATATTTTTTTCCCCCCCATTTCATTTTCTCTTTTCTTCGTAATATTTAATCCTTTGAGTGTTGAATACTTTTAACTAAAATGTTTTATAGGAACGGAATAATTTATTATTAACTAGATTCTTATAATAAATTATATTTAATAATTAAAATTTTCGTTTCTGTGAATATAATTTAATTAATTAATATAAACATTACATTATTTTACATTAATATTAACAAACACGTATATGCGTCTATAGACCATTCTGGTAATTTTTACCAAATGCTATAATGCGTCCATAGCACTTTAAGGGTTACAAATTTATAATTAAAAAAAAAATATATTAATTAAAATTTTGAAAAGAGACCCATGTCGAAAAAATGAAGTTAAGAAGAGTATTATTACGTGTTACGAATGTAATAAAGTTCAGGGTGGATTATTTTGAGGTATTCGGAAATAAATCAGTTACGATTGTTAAAAAKAAAGAAAGAAAGTTAATCGTAGGAGTGTGTCTGTGTGTGTCTCGTGTGAGAAGATGAAGAAGCAACGACCATAATCTTAATGGGGCATATAACAGCCATTACAGATGGCCCGCTGGGTGACAACACGCTGTAAATAACGAGACTCGTTCTTACAGACAGGCACCGTCGAAACGTTTACGCGACGCGTTATTTCGATAAATGCATTTTCTTCTTCTCTTTCTATCTCTCTTCTTCTCTTTCTCACTCTCTCTCTCTCTCTCTCTCTCATTCTCTCTTTCAGTTCCTTTTTTTTTTTATTCTTCGCGATTAGTCCCACTCCGAAAAACCGACACCCTTTGATGCCCCCTCTACCGCCCTATCCATTCCACCGACATTCTACATACGTGTATATTAATGTATATGTGTGTTTGTGTGTATACGTTAGCGTCTGTTTTGGATTTTTCACGGCACGAGAGAGAGAGAGAGAGAGAGAGGCGTGCAAGTTTACCAAAAAACCACCGAGACCTCTTTTTACACTTTTTCTTTTTTGTTTTTTTGTTTTTTTTTTTTTTCATTTTTTTTTTTCAAGATAATTAATCATAGTTATATCTGTCAAAGTTCTGTTCGATGTTTCCCAAAATTTTATGAGATAATAGGTACATTTGTGCGATAAAGAAATTGGATGTATTTTGGAAAGTGTAGGGGAAAAAAAAAAAGAAAAAGATAAGTATTTGTTCATGGATTATTTTACGTGAAATAAATGTATGGAAAAATTTTATAAGATAAATTAAAAAGATTATTTGAAATCTTTGGAACAYACACACACAAACACACACTTTGAGATTTCCTTTACCATTTCATTTTTCTTGTATCATCGTGTTTGAATTAAATTCGAATTCACGTGATCGAATTTGTTTACTTGCAGATAAAACAATTATTATAAATTTCACGATGTAAACAAATGAACTATTTTTCGTTATCATTATGATGAATAATTGATAGATATCGATAATAATAATAATAATAATAATAATAAAAATCTGTTGATTTTGACCATGAAATCAAATTTGTTTTTTCTTTTTCTTTTTTTTTTTTCATAATTTCTTTTTTTTCTTGATATTTCACGAGAAACATTCTTCACGGTTTATAATTATCGTATTGCGTGCAAATAGTTATCGTGTTCGGAACTAACACTCGTGAGAGAGTAAGAGAGAACAATATTTGCCCATACGTCGAGTTTTTCAGCGACTCGATGGCGAACTCGTTCGACTATTCCTGTTTCAACGTCATGATAATAATAATAAATGTTATTTATTTTATATATATATGACAGATTGACAGTTTACCTACCTTAGTCGTATTGCTGCCAAAAGCTGCTATAAACTGTCTCTTTTTTTATTTTATTTCAATTTGAAATTCTTGATTTTTCCCTTTTTCTGATTTTTTTTTTTTTTTTTGAAGTTGGGGATGAATCTTAGACTTAGTGTTGTTCCATCAAAAAGATTGCACTTGATTTCGGGAAATCTGTCCACTTCTCTTCTTTTTTTTCTTTTTCTTTTTTTTTTTCTTTTAAACGACGACGAATAATATCAACGAGTTCGTAGATTACGTTACTTTCCAACAATAAATTAATGTCTCGAGAAGGTCTTGTAATTGATGCTCGCGTAGGGATGAAATCGACGTTGATTTATCGGACAAAAGTTCCCTTGCCGCGGTTGTAAAGAGAATGAGAAAGAGAGAGAGGAGAGAATTTATTGACTTTTAGACGAAGGAACGTTTCTCGCCAACGATCTCGATATATTCGACTCTTATTGTTTCTTATTAATCGAATCGATTCCTCTGTTCGACATTTTCTATTCTTTCTATAGAACAAGTTGAAAATAGCTACGTTGTTAAGCTACCAAGTTACTTCCAAAAAAAAAAAGAAAAAAAAAAGATTATTACTACAATGTAAATGATATCTAATAATGATGATTAATATAATTTAAAAAAACAACTAACTATATTATGTATATTATTTTAATCACTTTACATTTATATTATCAATCGCGAAGATTGAAACTTCCGATCGTCTTATAAAAAGATATTCGAAACGATCTTCTCAAGATCTCTACATTTTGACAGACTTGTTGTCTGTTTCGCGCACGTCGTGTGTTCACTTTCTCTTCAGTTGTCCGTAAAGATGAGAAAACTAAAGCATACTGGAGGCAACACGTGTCTGCTGCTGTAATTGGTTGCCAAAGGCTTGATATCGGTCGTCAAGGAAGTCGCTTTGATACGAACGTCCTGCTGCTTATTCATTGACTATAATAATAGTGGGATTCCTTCGATCGTGTATGAAAATAAGTTGACTGATTATTAGAATGCATCTCTCCTTTTTTTTTTTTTTTAAATCTTAATTGTAATTTAGCGTGATCATCAAATTGTCAGCCTAATCACGCGATTTCAATGTATCGATCATTTTTTTTTTTTTTTTTTAGAAATTGTTCGATTACGAGGTTGATTCTGATGAAGAATGGGAAGAGGAAGAACCTGGCGAATCACTTCATGGTTCGGAAGATGAGAAAGATGAAGAAAATCCGGATGACGATGAATACGATGTTGACAATGAGTTCATGGTACCGCATGGGTAAGTCGTTTGAATTAAACAAATTTCTGATTCATTTTCATTATGAGTTAAAGTGACAATGAAGAAACTTGAGCTCGTTAAAAATTTTGTTGTTTCCTGTTGTACCCTCATATCCCTTGGCATTCACGATACGATATCTATCGCATTCTTTCATAATCGCATCTTTATGCATGTGTGCGTGTGTCTGTCTCTTACAGATATTTGTCCGACGAGGAAGCACGACCTGACGAAGAGGAAGACGAAAGTATGGTGAGTTATTTTACAAAGTATTTTTATCCCTGATCGTGTATCTTATCCTTAACGAAATAATCTTTCGGTTTTGTTCATATGAAAATATATTTTTTCAGACGCCGGAAACGCAAAAGTTCAAGTTAAAATTGTTGGGTGAACAATTTGAGGCTGAAAGAACGGCAAAGATGTCGAAACTTAAGCCAAGAATCATCGGTTGCGTTTGGTTGGGGGAAAATAATTCGTATCCTGAAAATAGTGAGTACAAATAAATCTTTAAAATTAAATAGAAAATTGCGATAACATTTGGTTCTTATTTATGTTGTTTTATTTTTTTTTATTTTCATCAGCTCCTAAAAAGGTCGTAGAATTTTTAACGGCACGTCATGCCTGGGTTTCACAAATACCGGTCGTACTTCCATCACCTACGAACGAAAATACGGAAGTTGATGGTACGCCAGCAAGTACGAGAAAAAGAAAGGTACCAACAGAAGCATTGCCGGATTTGATTCGTTTAATTCACGGAAATACGCACGGGAAAAATTTTCTCGTCAAAGAATTTCTCACCTTTTGGAATAAAAAAGCGGCGAGTAGGGACAATCAAATATCTAAAGTTAGTTTAGTGACTAAGATTAGTGAAATTGGAAGGTGGATACCTTGTCCTGATAAAGGACAAATGCATTTGAAAGCATGTTGGTACGTTTCCGAAGATATTAGAAAACAATATTTAGGTGAGGATGAAGAATTAGTTTTACCGAATCGTTGGAAATATAATTTAACGCCTAAACGTAAAAGTGAAATAATTACGGACAATAATGATAAAACGGAAAAATCGGAAAAAGATGCTACTACTACCGATAAGGATAAGAAAAAGGTTCATCTGATTACACAATTTACTAAAAAAATTACTCAAGAAGAGATGCAACGACAGCTTACTGCAGAATCGAATCAAGCTGTAAAACCTAAACCGATATTGCAAAGACCACCTAAACGTGCCGTTTTAATTTCTATTCCTAAAAATGATAAAGTAAGTAAGAAATCTATAGAAGAAGATAGTCAAGATAAATAATAAAAGTGTATATAAACGCTGAATTAATTATTCCTATGTCTATGAGGGATAAACTACTATACGTGAATAAACGTATTGTTAAGTCAAACAATCTTCCTAATATGTTGTAAAGAAAAAAAAAGAAAAAGAGATAATAACTGCCATGTAATATAGTAGACTAAATACGCAATTTTTTTTCTTATCGCACCAATTAATAATTCGAGGTTATGTCGTTCGAAAGTTTATTTTTCACAATAAATCATATTAACGTTGACCTCATATCATAATATCGTTTATAAATATCACGATTTTATCTATCGTTAATAAATATAATAATAATATCTATTTTTTAAACAATCGTTCATCGCCACTGTACTGCCTTTTGAAACAAAAAAAAGAAAAAAGAAACAAACAAATTCGTATTTAGATTACTATTCTTATCGATGAGAGAGAATTTGAATAGATTTGAGAAATTATATTTTTCGATACAAATATATTTATACTTTAGAATAAAATGGCCAATATAATGATGAAAACTTTAATGTTCAATTTTTGTGATATCTTATAATCAATTTAAAAATTAATAATTTCTAATAAAAAAGAAAATACAAACTAAATAATGATTACTATTTCATTACATTAGTATATGTTCCAGTAACGATATTTTATACTTAAACATCTTAATTAAGTCGTTAACTTAATAATAATAATAATAATAATAATAGCAATAGTTACACATGTATTTTATAATACATTTTTCATAGACCGATCGCATGCGGAATATTCGCCATATTTGATAGTCATACATTCCTTCAGATTTTACAAACATAATTATTTAGATCTATGCATATAAATATATATATATACATTCATAGCCTTATTATTTTCAATTAGTATATTCCAATCATCGATATAGAAATATTGTTTCAAAAGTGATCAACCGATCGATTTTTACAAGTCAATATTTTAATAAGAACACCATTGTAAACTTAATAAAATTTATTATGAATTTTTTCTATCGATGACGTTGATTTTACTTCCAAAAATTGTCTACGTTACATATTACGTATTTACATGTAGACATTACATACAGGTTGATTATAAAATGCAGTTCTAGAGTTGTTATTAATCTCAATCGAGAATAGTTGTTATTACTACAGATATATACATATACGAGATAAAATAACTTACACATGGAAAAAGATACTTTCTCGCGTTAGCAATAACGAATTTTCTGGTAATAAAATGATAAAATAGCATATTTTTCTCTCTCTTTCTCTCTCACTCACTCGGTGCATTGTAACAACGCACACAGCGTAGGTATCTCGTTTCGCGAACGTTTAAATACCATCGAGCAACGTGGCTTTAGCGTAGAATTTGTCGAAAAAAAAAAGGAGAAAGAATTAAAAAAAAAAAATAATAATAGAGAGAGAGAGAGAGAGAGAGAGAAAGAAAGGAGAAAAAATATCAAACACGCGCGAGCAATTTGAAGCGTAACTCGCAATTCTGTGATATCGAAAATTTTAAGAGAAAAAAAAAAAAGATGAAGAGAAGAATGATCCAGAGAGATAAGTTTTACATTCGGCAGTTTGGATTTGTAATTGTAGTAAGGGTGTACCGATCCGTAGCATATGGTTGGAATGAACGAAAGGGCGACCCTCGAGATCGTGGTAATTATCGAATCACGCTCGAGATCCAGCGAAATGCCCAGAGAACCATGGAAAACTCTTTCTCTTTTTTTGTAATCCTTTTTTTTTTGTTTTGTTAAAGTACTACGACAAAAGAACCCCACACGCGAACATTTTTTTATCCCCTTTTTTTCTCCATGTCGTAATAAATACTTTGTACGAAGAGAGAGAGAAAATAATAAATGAAAAATTATTATACATGCAAAAATAATAATAATAATAATAATAATACTATGCAAATTTTCGATATCAAATTAAATCAGCATAACCGTACTTTTACTACTAGCTGTGCTTATTTCTACTTACTCATACTAGTATTATATTTATATTTCATTTTTTTATTTCTCTCCTATACATACACATTTTTCTTTATTGTTAATTTTTAATTTGTTTCAAATATAATTTTATATTTACAGATACTAATTATAACAAATTATTTTCTAACAAATTTAGAAAACAATAATAAATGAATAATCGAGAGTAACACATGTGTCATATATACATGAATGATTGACAATAAGAAAGAAATCATAAATCATGAAAAATCAACGACGTTCTCGTTCTCGATTCATCCGATTCCTAATGCATACATATATATATAATGTACGTGTATGTGTGTGTCGAGTTTGCAACGAAGAAGTCTTCGTGGTTTAGTTCGCGTATCCAATTTTCTATGGCCGTAAGTTATCGGTCGAAACCTCTCTCGAGGATACGCATCGCGGATTCGAAAGAAAGGCGGTGATCGTAGTTTTTTTTTATTCTCTCTCTCTCTCTCTCTCTCTCTCTCTCTTTCTCTCTTCTCTATCTCTCTTTTACCTTTGGCTCATTTTGGTATGCGATCGTAGAAAAGAGAAAAAGGGGGTGGACCGAAAGAACTCTAGGCAAGACGAGGAAAAGGGTAAGAGTGAAAAAGGGAAGAAGCAAAAAGAGAAGAGAAGAGAAGAGAAAGAGAAGTGGAGTAGAGTATAAGGTGTATGCCTAGAAGGTATAGAGAGAAAATGGTAGCCAATGGCGTTGGCTCTGCGTTGTTGCTACAGTATTGAACGTCTCCTACGTGGGGTCCAGATATATATATATATATATATACATATATATTTCTCTCTTTCTCACTCCTACTAGCTCTCCTTTTTACCCCTCTCTCGCCCTCTCGAGAGAACCGTCCTTTCCTCCTGGTCGTATTCTCGTCCTCTCCACCTCTTTCCCTCACTCTCTTTCTCTCTTTGGTCCTCTCCCCGAGTTTCTCCTCTTTCCCTTCCTGCTGGCTGCCTCTCGTGACCCGACGATGTCCTCCCTCCACCATCGTCGCAGGGTGGAGACCCTCCCTTGTCCACCCGCCCTCTTCATCTCCTCTTCCACCACCTCCTCCTCCTCCTCCTCCTCCTCCTCCACCTTTTGCTGGTGCTGCTCCTTCATTTCTCTCTTTCTCTCTCTCATAAGCTTATAGGGTGGAGGTGGGAAGAGGGAGGCAGGCCGTCGGGAAACCTCTCTCCATCAGAGACGATCCGTGAGTTTGCTGCCGAGATCCAGAGTGGTATGAGATGACCGCCTCTATCCTCTCATTAATATCCAGAGACACACGACCTTAGGAGGTCTCCTCCCTGCAGTTGCTGTTCGTACACAACTCGGTTTCAAGCACCCATATAGGCAGAGACTGTGTTGCTGCACGTTCGCCGTTTTGATCGACGGAATGTTTCGACCTTATGCTATACGGTAGCAAAGAAGATTCCAACCAAGTAAAATGACGATACAATTGAGTACCGATAATATCTCTTATGAATGATCAATTATTACTATTATTATTATTATTATTATTATTATTATTATTATTTTCTTAGAAGAATAATAGAGTTAGATAACGATGAACAATAGTTTTAATCATTTATTATTACCATCGATAATATATTAAACTCTTTATCGAATAATATTAATTAATAATTGAATATGATAAATATTACATATGTAATATAAATTAATACTCATTATTATATATTTCTATAAATTATTAATAGAATTATAGAGTATTGGTGATATTAAAAGATCTAATATCTCATTATTTTAAACTAATTACGTATTTAATCGTTTAACTATATCACAAGCATTATAAATTGTCTCGAATATAATGGGGAAAAAAGAACATAGTATTTTATTGTTTAAAAAAAAAAGAAAAAGATTAGCAAAATATTCTCGTGTCTTTTATTGGTCGATCCGTTGTGCTTAATATTTATTTCGTGTGTTCCAAAACGAAAGGAAAGGAAACGAAACAACCGATTTACCTTACCGAAGGAAGGTCATATAAGTCTCGGACATTCAGGGAGGGCTGAAAAATGGTGGACGATCGAAAGATCGAGGGGGCCAAAGGAGGCAGGATACTTAATTGAATACTCGAGCAACACGATCGATGCACGATGTCAGAAGGCAATGGCACAGTACGATCGTTCCGCTGCCGATCGCCGCATTACGAACCTTTTACCGTCGATTATTACGCTGCCAGCTCGAAATCCACAGTCTGTCTGTCCGTCCTTCTATCCTGTCCCTTCTTCACTCCTCTCTCTCTCTCTCTCTTTCTCTCTCTCTCTCCCTTTTTGCTTTCGATAAGTATATACCTCTGTTTTCTCCCTATCTCGTAAACCGCACGAAAGGTGGACACGAACTTTGTACTTTGCCGTTTCTCATCAAAGAAAATGAAGATCGATATCGTTCCTTGTGTCGCTCATAATGATCTTCTTTATTGCTACCTATCGCGATCGAACTTATAAATAATTGGACGTTTTTATTTTTTTATTTTGTTTATGTAAAAATAAAGTATTCATTTTGGTAATAATTTACATTCTTAATGTTACACTCTTAAATAATGGACACTTATATTATATAAGTCATATTTATATATGCATGACCAAACGTTTATATAACTATTTTTATTTATCACAACATATTCACATTGTGAATTTTATATATAAATTTATTTAGAAATACCTCATGTTATAAAACGTTGATGAATGTTTTCTTCATTCAACATTTTAGAGCCACGTATGAAATACTTGTTCACAATTATTATTAAAGTTGAGCCCAACGATGGGCATGATTGACAAACTCGTTCGTAAAAGTAAAAATAGTATATTGACGATTTCATAAATAGACAGTAAAAGAAGACACCATTTTTTGTTGTTGTTGTAAATGTAGGATAGGTGTGATGATGAGAAAGTGATTAATAAAAAAGTGACTACTATATGAATAATCCATAAAAGGTAAAAGTAATAAAAAGAACGATTGACAAATGATAAATGTTTTCTCATTGAAAACGAATGTTTTATCAAGAAATATTATCTCGTTAAAATGACTTGATGATGTTATCTATGACAAGGACTCACTTTCCTTTCGTATTTTTTCTCATCTTAGGTCCTGTAATAAAAAAAAAAAAAAAAAAAAAAAAA